AGATGGGCTACCTTAGCGGAGTAATAGCGGGAACTGATTCGTACAGCAAAGCTTTGAGTCTCGATTTGTCTAGTCAGCGAAATAATTGCTTTGGAGCTTCTACTTTTACTGGAGCGCTACAAACCGGATCCCAATCCAATATAACGTCTCTCGGCTCTTTATCAAATCTTACGATCGGTGAAAATTTATCGTTCAGTTGATCATCGCGCTCGTTATTGATAACAGGAACTTCAAGCTACTTCGATTGTCGAGAATATCGCCAGAACGGGAATATATACGATTTAAGGCTTCTTGGATACAATAACAGAGTTAAAAAATTCTGGTACCGCAACGCCAAATAAATTCCTATTATGCGACTCAAGCTCGAATATCGGAGGCCTGAATCCGGGGGACGGCTACTACTCTGACTTGCACGAACTTGCGCCAGGGCTCGACGTATTATGACCTATCATATTTTTAGCATCCATCCGACTTCCCTTTCGCTCAATAATCTGTCAACAAGTGGGGATATTCACTGCTCCGGCGTTATCAGTGTTTTTTTGGCGTATTGATACCAAACAGCTATTATAACAGTATGATCGCCGACAGAGCTTGGGATCAACTATACAGCAACGAATCAATATTTCTCAATCACTGGTAGCGTATTGGACTTTCATGATGGTTCTTACACACGAATGATGACTCTAACCGGGTCAAATACGACCTCTGTTTGATGTCAGATCCAAGTCCATAATTGCTATTGATCAACTACAGCGAACGCGTCATGGATTGGGAACATCACAAACAACGACCTCGGATTTGGGGTCAATAACTCGACGTCGATGATTCTAACTACCAAAGATCGTCTTGGGTTTAGTACTTCAACCCCTTTAGCTCCGCTGCACGTCCCTGGTAGCAAAAAAATGTATTTGGAGCAGGAAAACCCAGTGTCTATAGATTGAGAACAAACGGTGGTAATACCGAATCAGCTTTGGGACCAATCAGTTATTCCGTGAGCATTTTGTTCGGTGGATATATAGGATGCAGTGCTCTGGCAATGACATTTGACCGTCGTTTGAAGCAGAACATTCAACCTTGTCCAATTAACTGAGTAAAGCGGCTCTACAATAGCTGTGAGGTCAAGCTATGTGACTGGGTCGAGTCGAAAAACAAGCCTGAACAAGAGGTTGGTCTCATAGCTCAGAGTTGGGTCTCAGCCCATCTAACTCACTAAGCAGCAGCTCAACATTGACTATAGTCGGATTAGTGCGTATAACATGAAGATGATTCAGCATTTTTTGGGTGAAGCAGATAGAGTAAAAGATCGTTTGGCTAATATTGAATCATAAGGATTGAGCGCTTGGAGTTAAGCCCTTTGAAGAGCGAGCATGGGTACTGGAAAGCTACGAAAAATTGATTTTGGCGCCGGTGGCTATACTCATTATCGGGATCAAACCCCTTTGGAAGCATACTCACATCTTGATCATAAAAATAAGAAGAAACGACGTGGATACTCTTTCAGACACAAAGGTGATTACCCAGAACCATAATCGGATTTCTATGTTTAGAAGTTTCTTTGGAAATAAATACAAGAAATGGGTTGCGTACCAAGCAAAAACCCCATGATGAACCTGCTCAGGTAATTGGTTCTACAATCATGCACGCTGATCAGATCGCAGCTCTCGGAGATAGTGCATTTGTTCCTATCAGAGACGCGAAGACAGGGGAAGAATGGGTATACAAGCTGAAAGAAAAAAAGTATATATTGCGGAATGGCGAATAGAGCTGATAGATCTGGTATTGCTTAGATAGCAAACGGCATTACAGTTCTAGTCTTTTTTTACGGTTGGTAAGCCAATGCGCGACCACCCTCTATCTAAGTCGATGCATCAACCTTCCTGATAGACTTATCAAGATCAGAAGCCCAAAAAGCTGCCTGAGTCCTCTGCGGACGGCCATTAATGATAAGATATTTCATGATAGCTTAAAGCTCGGCTACGTTGAGATCAGCGTAGTTTCCATAGCTACCAGCTGAGCTGGAAATAGTTCGGGGGTTGAAAAAGAACATGTTTTTTATAGTAGTCGCGTGATAATTTCCTTGACTTCTTTATCATCAATCATTCAATTGCTGTACATGTCCACACTAAGCGATTAAAGTTACTTGATGATTGAACTATTATCATTACCGAGTTCGAGCTCACCTTTTAGCTTATCATATTCAGCTTTAGAGATTCTAACAGATCCTCAACCCGATCATGGAAATTGTACTGAAGATGAGTAATCGCGAGAATCTCCTT